TGTTCCGGCAATTCTCGAATATGAAGGACTCGCTTCTTCGGGAATGTATTCGCAGTCCATTCAAAGGTCGGGTAGCGTTACCGACGACACAAACCTCTCTCCTTCTCCAACAGAGAAACCAATCGATGCGCTCATCAAAGAAGTGAGTTTTCATCTAATAATCATATTCTTGTTGTCTTTGTTTCAAAATTGATTTTATTATTTTCCCCGAATCGTAAAGCTTTCGTATTTGAATCGAATTCTGTTACTTCATGTGATTGAAGGCGATATAATCCATCAGATCTTCAAACAGGTATTTGAATCACTTTTTAAGTAATCAATTGTGAGACTAATAGTTATAACCCATGGTTTGACAGCTGTTTTACTTCATGTGTTCGAGTTCTTTGAATAACCTATTGTTACGCAAAGACTTATGTCATTGGAACAAAGCGATGCAAATCCGGTTCAATCTGTCGTCTTTAGAGCAGTGGTGTCGCGAACAACAGATCCCCAAATGGAACGAATGCGTGGAGAAGTTGGAGCCCATAATACAGGCCACAAAACTTCTTCAGACACGCAAATCCGAAGAACACATCCCAACGATTGTCGAAATGTGTAATAAACTCAGGTATTTGTCGATTCACTCTTTGTTGAGACTTAATTGTTAGCGTTTATTAATTTTATTCTGTAATTAACGTACAGTTCGTCACAAATCATAAAAATACTGAATCTTTACACCGCCGGCGATGAGGAGAGGATTTCGAGTAACTTTATAAAAATGGTTCAAAAACACTTGGCTGAACAGAGAAAGACCGAGGGTTTGTGTCTACTATTTAATTGTGCGCTTTTGCTATCAATTGGTTTCATATGTTGTTTGTTATCATTTTTAGGCACAAATACAACACTTTTAATGGACACGAAATACGCGTTTGCGTTCACAATACCATACATTCCAACGGACGTCAAACTTCAGAGTATATCTCTTCCGTCTGTTTTAGTCAAGAAGGGTTTGGCGACTGTTCTCAAGAAGATTTGAATTAACCATAGATTCAAAGTTTTAATTATATATTCCATTGATTGAGCTTTATTTGCAATTATTTTATTTATTTACATATTATTAATTTATTAAGACTGAAATGATATACTTTTAATTAATTAATTACTTTTTTCACATTTAGTTCAATTCAACACTAATTTAATTAATAATTATTTACTAAAATTAAAGTGAGGTTTAATTAATTCCAAAAATCGATCACAAAATAACGGTTAAAGTACTAAATAAGACTTAATAAGACTTTTAGTCTAATCTTTTTCTATAAGTGTTATCAAAGAAATTGAGATTATTGTTAAATTTCGGCACTATTTTTGTCCATAATTTTCCACAAACTTTGTTCAAAATAATCCATTGATTATCATTTCAAACACATTCCTCTACTTATGGATTAATATTTTGCCGAAATATATATTTCAAAGAATCAAATTATATTGTATTAAATAAATTAACAAATTGTTAAATGACTTAATAATTATTTATTGATTATCATTTCAAACACATTCCTCTACTTATGGATTAATATTTTGCCGAAATATATATTTCAAAGAATCAAATTATATTGTATTAAATAAATTAACAAATTGTTAAATGACTTAATAATTATTTAAGTATAGAATTCATTCTACTATTGGAAAGACATAGGAATTTGGTTTGGATTTAATGTATAGCAAAATGTTATGAATTCTTGTATTCTTTGTGCCTAAATATTGTAGATTTTAATTATATTTAAATATTCATTAAAAAATAAATTATTAACTATTAAAATAGATTTATTCAATTTAATATAAATTGCATATTAATTATTAATTCTAATTATAAACATGTTTTAATATAAATAAAAAGTTCACCACTTATTTGGTTAAGAAAACAATTTTAAGGCATTTGTTAATTGAGTCTAAAATATATTGAATTTTATGTTTAAATGACTGATTGATTGTGAGGCAGAAGTTGTCGATCACTGATTGGATTCAATTAGCGATCATTTAATTGGATGGTCTGGAGTGAGGCTTCAGTATAAGCCGTCCGCAGTCATCGCAAGACATGTTGAAGTCTTGGAGCACTTGTTTGACTCGTGAGACCACGATCTGAGGCGTAACCACTTTTC